GCCAAGAAATTACAATGTAAAAGCGCTCAAAATCATGAATTATCTTATTGTGACTGATACAGCTGCCCTTGATCCATCCTGACCATATCGATATTGATATCGATATCGATGAGCGAAAGAACTGTAAAAAAATCCTTACCTCCAGACCAGCTATTTGAGACATGATGTTCTGCAGCCTACATGTCCCCTTGAAGCAACTCGAGGGCCTGTAGCTAAACGTTAAAACCAAGTAGGAAAATTGTATGTTTTTAGTACAAATGGTCAAGCAACCAACCAGCGTCTCCTAATCCTAAGTTCACGCCCAAAAAAAGAAATATCATCTTCTCACCCCGAACCCCAGTCATTATGTCACCGTTTAGCGCTTGCGCTTCTTCTTGCCTCCTCGGTCTTCGTCCTCCATGGCACTCTCGCGATCGCGCTTCTTAGCCTTGCGCTCGAGCTCATCCCAATCCTCACCCTCTTCGTCACTGTCGAGCTCTGCATCTTCATCGTCGTCGCTTGCATTGCTGCCAAAATCGGACCCTTCGTCACTAGATTCAGACTCCTCATCGAATTCATCCTCGTCCATCTCAAAGGCCGATTCTTGCTCAGACTCACCCTCGCCGTCATCATCGTCAGAGTCAGCTTGCAGGAAAGACCAACCACCATCAGCAAAGAACTGGTGGGTGTCTGCAGTGACTGTCTTCATGATAGTTGGCCAGTTGAGGTTAAGGGGACCTTCCGTGTAGGCGATATCGGAGGAGTCGAGCCATTCCTTGACCTGGTCGAGGAACTCGACGGGGATGGTGTTGACGTGGTAAGGGGGTCGTGTAAAATCCTTGAAGACAAAGACCATATCAAAGTTCTTCAGGCCGAACTGAACACGTTCCAGGTGCGCAATCTCAACTTCCTCAATGGTGATGACCATAAAAGGAGGCTCGACAACCTGAATGAGGCAGTCCGTGGTAGGTTGCACAAAGACATTGCTTCGGAATGGCACACCATGGAAACCAAGGTCACGAACAGGCATGTCGACCTCGATACCTTCGTTGCGACCAGCCTCGGCAATCTTCTGAGCAAAGCCTTGGAACAGTCGATCCAGCTCGGCTCTGCGGCGTCGTTCCTCTTGTTCTGCCTCGAACTCATCCTCGTCACCATAACGGTACTTTCGCTTGCGGTTGCCCGTCTCATCGAATTGAATGTCTGTGGCTTCTCGATAGAACTGAACATCCTTCGTCTTCTTCTTGTTGCCGACAATGATCGGGTCCTTGAGATGAATGTGAATGATGACAATCAACTCATGCTGACAAGGTTGGAAAAACAGGTGCTTGACGTTGGAAAATAGTATATCCACTCGGTGTTGTGCATTGAGGGGTGAGATATATCGAATACCGTTCTGGTGAATCTCGACCTTGCCTGGTACTCGCTTGCCTTCCATAGCTGGACGGATGTAGACATTGTCCAACACAGCTGGTCGTCGGTCTGGGTAACGGTTAGCATCCACTGATTCGAAAACATGTTTAGCTTTGACTTACTCCGTATCTCGACGAGTTTGTCCTGCTCGACGACATCCTCCATGTCCTTCTTTTCCTGCTCCTTCTTAACCACATCGCGCTTCATGTTAGAGATCTGAGTTGCTATTTCATTATATCTCTCACCATCAGACGATCGGAAGGTCAAACTTCGGACGAAGTGCGCCGATGCATCTTCGAAGGGCTGGTCATCCTTTCGGCCTACGCCCTGACCAGGCGAGAGGAAATTGATGCGCAGGAATGCCCAATCACCCTCGTCGCTTTTACTCGCGTTCTTGATAGTGTTGATGTGGAAAGGAACAGGGCGGCCCATAATAGGCAAAACGACTGTGTTGTTCTTGATATCAACAACAACCTCGAGGTTCTTGATCTTGCTGGGAAACTGGTTGTCTCTCTTGTAAGACTCGAAACGCTTGAACTTCTTGACTTCACCACCGTTCTGGCCACTCGTGGATTCTGAAAATCTGGCGAGACCCTCTCTTTGCTTCCTCGCTGCAAGTTCCTTCTGATGCTCCCGTCGCTTCTTCTCAAGGTCGTCGTTAGCGACTTGAGTTGTGCGTTCTGAGCGAAGTCTTGTACTTGTGATGTTCTTGGTCGCAACGGCACCAACCCGCGAGTCCTTCTTCTCCTTCTTAGGGGCAGGCTCTGCTTCTTCATCATCCTTGAAGAAGAACGAGTTGGCATCAGCGCTTGTTGGGGCCTCAGCTGTGAACACCACGGGCTCTGCCGAAGTGACTCGAATGGTGTCAGTCAGGACGAGCGCATAGATCTTGCTGTTCTTATCCTGGGGGGACGGGTTCTCGATGTCTTGGAACCCGGTGTTGATGATGAGAGTCATGCCGTCCTTCAGAACCCGCTGGTTCTTGGCGTTGAGAATCAAAGTAGGATCCTTGTTCTCTAATCCAATACCCCAACCAACGTTCTTTAGGAAATGCTTCTCCATATCTGGCTTCTTGCTCTTTATAATGCTGATGGCCCTGCCATAAACCTCTTTCGCTGTCATACCATCACGAATCTCCTTGATGATAGTGTTGTGAATGAGAGTAAGAAGCTTATAGTTGCTCTCCTGAGACTTGTTAGGGTCGACGAGGTAAGTTCGGGCGATGGTAGAACAGTAGGACTTGTATCGAAGCCCCATGGCGGCAATGATGATGTTCGCGTGGAGGTTTTCGTCGTTGGGTTCACCGGCAAATCGAAGGTCGTACTTGCCACCACTCTGGATCGAAGGTCCCAGAATCCAGTCCAGCTGAGCGGGATCGAGGTCCGAGGGGAGTTTGCCTTTGCTAGGCAGCTCAACTGTCTTCCAGAATTGGTTGTCGTCGAGCTTCTTGTCAACCTTGTCGGCGAGTGCGGAGTGTTTGACTTTCTTTTCGGCATCGAGGATGTTGGACATTTCGTCGAGGAAGTAGGGGGTCATCAAGGCAACACAAGCCTTGGAGGCAGTTCGCATGGCTCGGAGTTCGCTCTCGTCCTTTACGGCAAAGGCGTAGGTAGAAAGGGCGGCGGAAATGTCGACCTGGGTCACATCCTTGCACTGGTCGTTGAAGAGCTTCTTCCACTCATCGACGAAGGGTCCTCGGGAGGTGTCTTTGGCAATGGTGCCGACCTTGTTCTGGATCGCATTTGTTAGGACTGAACGAGAATGATTTTTTGACTGACTTACTCCTGCCTCCTTAATCTTATCGGCAAGCTTAATGAAGAGCTTCTCGTTTTCGGCGGCATCCTTGCCTCGCACAAGGACTTCGATTGGGAATCGGCCCCCTTTCAGCTGTTCGAGATGCTTGGCTATAATGGATTTAGTGTGAGTCATTTCGCGCAGGCAGAACTGCGGTCGCACCTTTCTTCGCTGTTGTGAGGATGTACAACGTGTCCAGGGTGAACAACATAAGGGTCGTCGGAAACTCGTATCCAAGAAGCCAGAACTAAGATATTGTTAGTGAATGCATCTCGCATTCGTTTCGAGTCGTCGTGGGATCGCATACGTGAATCGCATTGTTCTTGTGAAATTCGGGGATCTCTTCAACCTTGCCCATCATCACAATGAGGGACTGAGCGCCGTTGAACAAGCCATCCTTGGAGCGCAGGTCATTCTTCCAGGCAGTGACAAAGTGGGAGATGCGCTCCTGGAAGAGCTTGCTGTCAATCTTGATCTCGGCCATCGTTTCTGATGGAATCGTGATCGAGAGTAACAGGGGAAAGCTGAAGGAATAAAGAGCTGATGACGGGAGGTTGCGACGACGCGAGAAAAAGTGAGGTCGCGTTAATGATCCAAGCTGGAGCTCCCTGTCACGTGATGTCCCGCAACGCGTTCCTTGGGTGACTGATGATGCAAGCTACCTAAGGTACCTGCCTGTGGTGAACGGCAGGATAGTACTCCAAGCCGTTAACAGTCCGTGCTTACTTCAGGTCTCTTCGGTCTTTCTTGCAAGCTCTTATTAATTTGCTTCTTTGCGTATGTTAAGAGGGTGCAAACTTCGAGAGCTGAAAGACCGCCAAAACGCAGTTGAGTTGGTGGAGCAACCAAGTCTAAGTCTAGCAATATCTCGAGATGGTGATTCGTGACGATGAACACGAACCCTCCCAAAGACGTGGGCAACTGTGGTTCACTTTCTTGTGCAAATTCACGATGCGCCACAGATGTGTAAGTTCATCTCTTTGAATATAGTCTCAAACTTCAACGCAGCCATTGTCTCGTAACGTCTCTTCTCACCTGAGATCGCATAGCCTTGTAGTCAGTAGTGGAGTAATGCCCATGCTCTTTATTTAAGACGGGATTAATCGAATGCTATATTCCATCATGTTGTTTGTATAGTGTCTTTAATAACATGAGTGAAGAAGATAAAGAGTATTCGAGAACAAGAATAGAGCATACACAGTTATTCTTTGTCGAAACATCAGCTCAGTACATGCTCCTTATCAGGTCACTTTGGATACTCATCAGCAACACATTGAGGTTCGAACAGAGTGCTAGAGCTCTAGAAATTCGATTCATAGTCCTGAACAATTCCAAGCTCAGTAGCCGAGGTTTAGAGGAACCGCCTTTCTACCATGAATGCACCATAATCGAGAACGCGGAATGAATAGCCTGAAATATCCACGACTTACACTCCAATCCTTATATCCAACTTGAAAAGAACATGATCGCGGTATGGAAAACTTCTTTATATTCTATCCGGTAGTTTTCAGGCTTGCTGCTTCTATGCCCGCACAATTTAGACACATCAAACATCAAATGCCGGAATTAACCTCCGTGTGTCGGCGCCGGTTTTCGGGAAGTGGAGTCGGGAGTTGCGATTCAAACCCGACCCCGCGCATGCCCGGGTGAACATATAACCAAACGCGAATGTCATACCTCTCACGTAACTTTTCTCACAACTTGTTTTCTCAACCTCATTTACTCCGTAACTTATAAGACACGCAGTTTCCCTCTCGTAACATTATCTCTAAACGCTCTTGTATCCATATCAACTTACACCATAATCTGCCATCATGCGGGTTCCTTACGTATCCAACCCTCCTGAGACCAAGTCCGAGGAGCATGCCGCCATTGTAAAGCGCATAGAAGAGCGCCGCGCCCCTCGACCTCTCCAGTCTCTGGATCTGGCTCTTCTTCACTCCCCTCACGTTGCTGATGGCTGGAACTCATTCCTCGGCGCTGTTCGTACCAAGACCTCTTTAAGCGACGACATTCGAGAGCTTGCAATTTCACGTATTGCTGTGTGCAACAAGGCCTGGTACGAATGGAAACACCATGCGCCGCTAGCTGTCAAGGGCGGTGTATCCGAGGCTGGGCTTGAGGCTATCAAGGGTGAGGAACTTGGTGAGCGGCCTGCTGAGCTATCAGAGAAGCAATGGGCTGTGCTGCTGTACACGGATGAAATGACGAGGAACGTTCAGGTCAAGGATGAGACCTTTGATCGTCTGCGGGAGTATTTCAACGAACAAGAAATTGTGGAAATCACAGCCACGGTAAGACAGTCCCTTGTCCCTCTAGTCATCAAAGTCATCCTGACGCCAACAGGTTGCATGCTACAACTGTGTAAGCCGTTTCTTGGTGGCGCTTGACGGTAAGTCAAAGTCATAAATTCATCCCCTGTCTAACTAGAACTAACAATGCTACAGTCGGGGAGAGAAATGGTACGGGTCCCGAAGCTATCTCGGGTCATTGATAGACAGCTGTGTCCTGCCAATTTCCAGGAGTAGCAGCAAATTAAAAAAGAAGAAGCAGGTCTTTATCACGAATAGTGATTCATAAGACCAAAAACAAACAGAGTGTTAGAATAATACAAAAGCAACCGTGCTAAGGAAATACCACGACTTAAGGCCGCGGGAAAGGGGTATCATCCCATCTACAGAAGTGAAGTGAAACTAAGAAACCAAACTCCTCATGAAATAAGCCCCCGAGGCCCCATCTTCGCTAAACCAACCCGTCGTTAATCGTTGCTCATTCAACCATGCCTCCTGTGGTCGTGGTGAGTGTCCGCTGTCATGCTGGACTATGCTGTTTTGTTAACATGTTGGCGACCACCTGGCCGCACTAAGAACGCCGTGTAATGAGGATCGTGTAATGTCCGTGCTGTATCGTCGCACTTGACAACCTGTAAGAGTTATGCCGTGTCGCTGTAACCAGAAACCAAAACGAAAAGAAAACCTTGAAGTCTAGGACCAAACCGATGCTTCAAGATCACGGCGACTTGGAATATGACCTCGACATTGCGCGCTCAATTGAAGCATGACGCTGATGCATTTTAGGCGATGTTTGTAGTTCCTGAACAACTCCAGCCCAGCCCTTACGGCTGGGTTTTGGCACGGGCTCCGGGTGGTTAACGAGAGCCTGGGTGGTCAAACTGCGCAAGGGAGGACGGTTGATGATACCCTCCATTAAGCCTCTAGGAAGAGAAGGACGGGTTGGTGTTTTGAAAACCGGTGATTTTTCCAGATCCCTTGCCGTAGGTAGAGGGGGCGGCGGCGGCGCAGAGAGCTTCTCATGGGTAGTGGTGCTTGTTTGTGATGCGACGACGCCCATATAAACGACAAGGAAGCGCATACGTAGCATATCGAGTCTACGAACCCGATCCTCTAACCTCGATCGCTTCGACGCCCACAGCAGCCTGGCGGAAGTCTTTAGCTTGGTGGTGTCCTCCTCGATCACCACACCATTGATATCCTCGCGCAAATCATCACCCGTCTTCTGAATCTCCCTTAGGAGCCGTGTCAAGCGTATCTTATCATCAAGGCGCTGCACCTTTGCGACGTCACGATCATAGCTCTCGTTCTCCTGTACAGAAAAGTCGGCAGTGTCAAGAAATGTTGCAATTTCGAGCGGCGCCGCTTGGTACGCGGCCGTGTAAGAGGAGATGGTCTGGACTAGGACGATGAGGGATAGGATGACAGCGATCAGAATGAGGATAATAGTCCACTGGAGCAGATTGAACTCGGCCATGGTTGAGCAGAGCGTCTTGATGGCGAGTCGAGGCGGAGGGTGAAGCTATCGCGCATGGTCCTTGGGGAGTTGTGTGTTTGTGGGAGAGAAAGGGGACAGAAGGGGAAGAGGCGCACACAATATGCAGGTGAAAGGCAAGGGGACATGAGCGATGACGACGGGAAGAACAAGCGCAAGCGTAGCCAGATCCAACAACCCCAACAATCATGCCGTACAGTAGATACTGTATCTTAACCTATCTAGGAGAACCTGCGCGTTTATGTGCGCTCTAACTAATAACTAACAGAGGCACCTAATTTCTAGGCTCATACACAAGCCGAGCTTCCATATTCGTGCTGGACCACTTGGTGCAGATGGCTGGGGATCAAGCAGAACCCCTCCCCCCTGCAGGCGCATCTGCAACTAACGATAGCCCATAGAGACAGGGCAGGGTATTCAAGTCAGTCAGTCATCACATGGTCATGGTCATGGCCAGTCCAGTGGGATGGGATGCGCGACTTGATGGCGTTGTAATTGTCTGACTGATACTACTTTGCATGGCCCATAAGTATGGGTAAGCGTGAGGTGCCGTGATGATGATATACGCGGAAGTGCCGGGCGGAAGAAACGGTCAAGACGGTATCTGGTGATGCTGACTGATGGAGGTTAACACAAAACCTAGGTACTCAAAGAACGATGCGTGGCCATCGCAGCTTGTTAATGTCATAGTTTAAGAGGATGCACCACGAACCTGCTCAAGATTGGCAGTATCCAAAAACTAATGCTGCGCTGCCGAACCGTCCAGCGGGTTTTTACATTGCATTGGCGGATGGATTGCATTCCGAGTGGGTTCATCTGCAGGTTGAGTATCACCATCGGTTGGATGTGACCAATTCTCGCAGGACACTAGTGTCTTAGATCCTCAGAGCGCCTAAGCCCATGAAAGCATGGATATCGAGGTCTGGAATTAGGGTTAGGGGAAGGGTAGCACCTTGGTGGATCAGTTTAGGGCTTAAGGAGGAGAAAGAGAGCTGAAAGACATTAATTTGTTGAGGTGAAAGTTATGAAAGACATCTAGTACAGTGCCTATGTATTGGGTATTTGAACAATGCGTTCCCCGGCGATTCAAGTTTATGGAGGGGTAAAGAGAAGTTGGCTGGGTTGACGTTGTTGTCATAAGTTGGAATAAACTTGATTCGTTACTTACTGAAGGCTTTAGCCGCTGTCAGATTGGCACCCAGTAAAAAGTTCTCGGGCCGTTGAAGGCGTGAGCGAAGTGGTGCCAATGGAATCATGCATTCCTCTTCTCTTCTCTCCTCTCCTCTCCCTTGTCCCTTAGGCAAGGTTCTGACATCCCACTGACTTCATCGATGCCATGTACCTGCGCCAGTCTTGCAGCTTATCACAATCATCGGATCTTTCTCCACTGATATCGCCTGTTTCTGCATTCTCTGTTACCACCCTCGTCCTCCAGCTCCCAAGAACCCTCAACAATATTACAAACCTACCTACTCATGGCGACGAATACAGCGACGGTGACGGCTGACCCCGCGCCGCAAGCGCACCAGTTTCCCCTCCCAAAGATCCTCGAATACCCCGCGTCGACCCCGCCAATCCTTATCACCCAAGGTGCCGAGGGTCGCCTCTACAAAACCACTTACCTATTACGCGATATTCCCTGCGCCCTCAAGTATCGCCCTCCTAAGCCCTGGCGTCACCCGATTCTTGATCAGCGGCTCACCAAGCACCGTATCCTTTCAGAAGCTCGTATTCTTGCAAAGTGTCGCCGCGATGGGGTCCGTGTACCAGCTGTGTATGCTGTGGACGAATCTGCTGGGTGGTTGATGCTGGAATGGATACCCGGAGGCCCTGTCCGAAAGAGCATCAATGAGCGGCTCGGAAATAGAACTGAAGGGATAGAGAGCGATGTTGAGCTGAAGGACCTCATGCGAAAAATCGGTACTGCTATTGGCAACATGCACAAAATCGGCATCGTCCATGGTGACTTGACCACAAGCAACATGATGTTGCAGCCCCCAGCTAACCCCCAAGACGGTAATTCCTTACATGGGGGGTTGGTTATTATCGATCTGGGTCTTGCGAGTGGAAGTATTTCAGACGAAGACCGGGCAGTTGATCTCTACGTTCTGGAGAGAGCATTTGGTAGCACACATCCAAGAGCAGAGTGCCTCTTTCCAGAGGTGCTCGAGGCCTATGGCCAGACCTTCAAGCAGGCCGAGATTGTTCTCAAGAAGCTAGAAGACGTGCGGATGAGAGGCCGCAAACGAAGCATGCTTGGGTAAACAAAAAGAAAAACAGAAAAGCCGTCTTGCAGCCAATTTCCCTACCATAGTGTCTAAACTCCGTGTATCTGATGCTCGCTGTTTTGCCAAACAAAAACCAAATGGACAAATGATGCTACTACATTCCATCTTATGTGGCTTGGAGATCCAATATGCCAGAAACCCAATGGTTCATCATCTCTTCCTTTTTCTCTTTCTTTGTCTTTCCTCTCTTTCCCGGCCGACAAGGAACTTGTCCAACTATGGTGCCACCAGCTCCGCTCCAGCAAAATATCCCTTATTCTCTATGACGCCTCGATCCTGTACGAATGCCGTGTATCGCACTACCCATTCGGGGACAATCTCTCCAGTCAAACCCGTACCGCTGTTGCCGGGATCGGCAAGAAGACCTGCGCCCTTCGGCCCGTAGCTAAGGAGTTCTCGAAGAGTGCCGTGCGGAAGAATATCGATACAGTCGTTGTGAACATGCAATTCCACGCCTTCTTGGTCGGCTAGCTTTTTCAGCGGGGGTGGGACATCGCAGCAGTTTCGCAGATTGATCTGGTCGATAACGGGCCGGACGCTCGCACGCTTGATGAAAGCGCCAAGTTTCTCGCTGCCAAACTCGGCCACAGCGAGACGCTTCACGAGGCCTTGCTTGTGCAGGCCCTCGAACACCTTCCAAGTCGCAAGCTCCTCTTCAAGGTTCCCCTGTTGGGCATTGGTCTTGTCCGCCTCCCATTCGCAGTTTCCTTCGAACGAAATGCCAGGAAAAGATACAATTAAGAGGTCGATGGTTTGAATGCCGAGTTCTCTCCGGACCAAGTCCAGAGCCTCTTTGACATGTTGTTCCCCAGCAGCTACTGACATACCCGGGAGAACAAAAAACTTGACAGTGATCTCATACTGACTGGGTTCCTCTTGGAGGCCAGCGGCATTCCAATTAATGCGAGGAACGTATAGCGCATCGCCTTCTTGTTCGGTCCAGAGGTCGACGACTGTGTGCTTGCCTTTGGCCGTGTCGCCGTTCGTGAAGCCGTTTGTTTCTTGCGCATCGATCGCATAATCGCGCTGAGCTTCGGTGATGTTGTCACGCAGGGAATTGACGAGTTCGAGGTTGGATCTGCTGTTGCCGGGTTTACGGATAATGGAGGGGCCCGCCAACATGACATTGCTGCCGAGAGGGGTTTTGTAAGCATCCATGAAAACTGCAGAGAAGTGAGATAGATACATACGCAGTAGATAGAATAAGTCTCGTCATGGTGAAATTATGAAGATACGAGAGAGATAGTCCCAACAAACAAATGAGAAGAGAATGGTTTGAGGAGAGACTTTTAGTAGACAAGAGGGAAATTTTTCGCCGTCGGGGTCCTCGAGGCGTAAACTCGGACACGCCAGTATTAAACCTGCAGACCAAAATACCTAGTCTATCCCATGGCGCGCCCACTGCTGAAATACGTGGGGTAAAGCAGATAGCTTAGTAATGTCTAATCATTTGAGGTCAGAGTTATTAATCACAAGCGAAGTTTGAGGTTTGTGTAATGATTCTACTGTATTTATGTTTGTCATGGCTGCAAATACCGCATCATTGCTACGGGACAGAACTGAGTGGGAGGCTGGCTCTGAATGGCCATGAACGGTTTGGGACCTGACATCAGTAGGGGCGTATAGTCGCGTGCTTGACAAGTGAGATGGTCAAATGATGACAGTGCCCATTACCATTTCTTTCACGTTGAGGTCGGAGATTCTTTTATCATTCTCTGTGTACGTGGGGTAACGGGTTCAAGTATTTACCAACCTTACTTAGGTAGGTACTAGTTAGAAGGTAGAGTAAGGTGTGTCGGCACTATGGCCTCCTTGTCACCGTTGAATATGCAGAAGCATGTAGTGGGTGCCAATCACAATGACATTGACTGGTTCAATTACTCTGATAACTTCTTTATTGGAGACAGGATCATAATATACTATGCAACTCCAGAGAGAATACCTACTACCTAGTACGTAGGTAAGGTTGCCAATTCGCCTTAACTTTAGGTACCTAGCTTATCTGTGCTAACCTTAGATGGCGTCTGGCGCTCAGTGTAGCCACCCACTGAAGTGACCGGGGGGTCCAGACCTAGCCCAGTAGGCGGATTGGCTGGAGCCTGGACCACCTTACCTCACTCACTTCATCATTGGGTTTGTCGGCCTGAGCCAACTCGTCACCAACCCGCCAAAATTGCTTCCGTGTCCACCTTGAAGCCAGAATTGCTTCCTCCGTCATCTTTCGAAACCTCACCCTGCCTTTTATCTGTACGCCTCCAAGCAGGCTCGATAGACCATCATGGCCATTCAGTATGCTTCTCCGTGGCATACCTACTTTTTCTGCCTGCTGACCGAGAGCTAACTACAGATATCTCATTCTCCTATCCCGTCAGGGCAAAGTGGTGTGTCTTGGTTGCTCACATGCGCAGCTTCAACAGCACTGACTAGTCATGACAGCGTCTTGCCAAATGGTTCACAACACTCTCCCCCAAGGACAAGGCCAAGATCGTCAAGGATGTATCTCAGCTTGTGCTCGCTCGAAGAACGCGCATGTGCAACTTTCTAGAATATAAGGGTCAGTTTCCTAACCCCTTTGTTTTGATAGCCTTGAGCTAACCAGCATGTAGATACAAAGATTGTCTATCGCCGATATGCATCACTCTTCTTCATCGCCGGATGCTCCTCCGAAGATAACGAGCTGATCACCCTCGAAATTATCCACCGATATGTCGAGCAGATGGACAAGTACTACGGCAACGTTTGCGAGCTCGACATCATCTTCTCTTTCACCAAGGCATACTATATCCTCGACGAAATCCTCCTCGCCGGCGAGCTGCAGGAAACGAGCAAAAAGAATGTTCTTCGCTGCATCGGCCAGCAGGACTCCCTTGAAGATATGGAGGTAAGTCATGACCAGCTTGATAAACTATGAAGTTTTGTGATAGCCCGGCAACCTACACCCACCCACTCACCCGCCAAATCGTCGCAAGACAGCTAACGCCAAGCCTCCAACAAGGTCGAGGACGAGGTCACAAAGATCATGTAAACCTCCTCGACGACCTTTTAATTGCTACCCAACATCAATTCGACACCGCTCCCGAAGCGTCGGATTGAGGCGATCGATCAATACCTACCAAGCGTTTTCATACGAGTTGCAGTATATTTACTGGCCGAGAATTAACTTTGGTTCAACAGGCCGACGAACAAGTATTGACGTCGCTCAAGGAGTCAGGAATTCTGTAATGGGAAAGTCTCAGGCGGCTGAGCATCTCTTCGATGGGAAGAGAGGACACGCATGTTTACATCGTGGGAATAGGCGCAGATGGTGTTTTGGGAGTCTCGGACCGTGTTGGTCTTGTTTTGTAGATCTTTGACGGTGGAAAACCACCTTCTTTCGTATCAAGAGATGAGGCCTGTGGGCAATGGTGTTGCGACAGCTACGACGGGCAGCGCAGAGAGATTGTCTCCGGTCCTCGACCCGGTATTGGTCAAACGTCGACGCAACATTGAGAGGAGAGCGAGCCTTGAACAACAGCAATGATCGTCATGAGAGGCTGTATTCCACTGAAAGTAGTCAGGCCTGGCACGTTGGGCCACCTCCTGTGCTTATCGAAGCCGAAATCAGCCGCACTGCTCAGTCGCAACACCTCGGCCCACAACTGGAATCAAGAGAAAACGATTGACCTCATATGCTTGTTTCTGTTTCTTGTTTCTCCAATTTCCAACTGACGTTAGACGGTGACTGAAGATGATTCTGGCCCATCCATCAAAGGGGATGGGCCATTTCATCCTAGGGGTCGACTGAAGCGCGTGGTTTCGGAGTTCAGCCCCATTCGCTATCGCTGATCAATCGCGTGGAGTTGCCGCCAGGGCATTCCCCCTATTACGATACGCCAAACTTACACATTCGGGTCTTCGAACAACGGATCGTAATTAAGGACATGTGCGAAACGATTGGATTGTAAGTTGGCACTGAAGAATTGATCAAAACAGAGTCCCTGAGGTTTGTCTCATGAGAGCCAAAGAATGAAGCATGAGGCTTACAGGGGGCCTATTGGCTCCCGTTAATATCCATGGCTTAACTGGCAGTACCGAGAACTGGCTCGATCCCCGGAATTCTTCAACATTGGCCGGACCAGGGCCGGGACCGGTCCAAGCTCACGCCAACTCAACTCAGCTCTCAGCAAAAGTGACTGATTTTGAGATCCCGTGGCTGGCTGCAGCAAAGGATCACACCAGACTTGAGTGGACTCAAATGTCTTTGTTTGACGAGAACGCAACGCAACCGAGACACAGAGTTACCGTTCATCCGCTAACCTCAGACAGCCCAACAGGCCATCCTATTCTACTCCAACCATTCTATCCCGAAGCCGGTCAATTCCATCCACTCAAAGCCTATCCATCCATATCCATCCTTTCGATTGCGGCCCCTCAATCAGTCATTCTGTGTTTCCTTGGTCTCATAAACTAACCAGGTTCCTGCCTTATCTATTTGCTTATTGCTTATTCACATAGATGTATTCACCAACTCAACCTCAACCTCAACCCTGTTACTTGCTTATCTCTATCCAAAATCCCCCCCTTTCATCATCATTTGAATCGACCAGGCTCTCGGCAATCTCCTATTCAATCTTGATCTGATCAGTGCCTATTATTATCTCCCGTCATCGCCAACCAATCTCTTTTTTATCTCCGGTCTTTTAGATTCTCAGGGTCCTTGCTGGCTGCACTGTATCTCCCAACTTTACAGTAACGAATCTGCCGCCGATTACTCCGTCCAGGGCATTAGAAATTACCACCGCGATTTAAGTTCCTGGCCTCGCCCCTCCCGAACTGTACCTGCTCCTGACCCGGCGATCGTTAATTCCCGACTTCCTTCCGCCTACTTTCAATCATCCTCACCCCGACACTATTATCCCCCTCTTTCTCCTCAATCATCAATACCCCATATCATCGCATTATCGATTGTCGCAACCAATTTCGACATCGTGTTTTATGACATCGGCCATCGTACGCTTACCGCCATCTTTCCCATATCGCGACAACTGTCACCTTCCCGACTCCGGCCCACCGCGACTCCACGCTGACGCAATCTGTTCCCTTGACTGCTCCCTCAATCAGTCAGTCGCATCACGCATTTACGGCCCAGCGCATCAACACCGCGACATTCCCACCACAGAATCGGCCTCAGAGTGCTCTTCAGCTTCCAAGATGAAGGTAAGCAGCCCCAGGACTCCGCGGAGGAACCCCTCATCCGACACATGCTAACGCGCGCATGCAGTATCTACCAGTACAAGACTTCGAAGCGGTGACGAGCGCGCTGAACTTCAACACACCCGACTGTAGCGTGACCGGCGGATGCGATCTCTACACAACGAAATCAACGGGTTCTGACAAGAAACTCTACAAGAACATCGACAACGATCTGAATTCGCAACATGAAGCCCTTCTCAAGCTCGGCGCCAGCCTATCACCGCCTGAGCGCGCTCATATGCTTGCTACATCACCGAGCATGCAGCTGTTTTCACACTCAAGTGCTTTCGGCCCCTTGTCTGAGCTCTCGAGTCGCAAGACATTTGCATACCTCATCGCGACGCTGAATGCGAGTCACCCACACTACGATTTCTCTCATGTCCTTCGACCCAACGACTTCAAACGAGAGCGAAACCTGCGTCGCGTCATGGTGAACCTCGATTCAATTCTTCAAAACGTAAGACCTAACTTCGAGCCCAAATCTCTCGGTTCCTCGCTAGGCAGTGAGACAACCTCGATATGGGGCCCCCAATGCTGGTCATTGATCGACAAGGAGATGCACCTCAACGAGTGTACTATTTTCAGCTACAACCCCGAGAGCGACCCCTTTGAAGAAGATGAGAGTGCAATCTGGGCTTCACATTACTTCTTCTTCAACCGCACCTTGAAAAGAGTGGCATATCTTTACGTCCGCGTTGTGCCAGTTATCTCGTCTCATAGCCCAACTCTCCGACCCACAAATCTGGCCAGGAACCACAGCAACCAACGGGATCTCGCATCAGCTGGTGCGCAGAAACGCGCCAACTACTGGCTTGGTGATCAAGACGCCGAGTTAGTGCCATATAATGAGGACGACGAGGAGCTCATTGACGACGGTCTTTTTTGGAATCGTGGAGAGAACGGAGATCTCGTTGCCTATTCAGATGAAGACTTCGACGAGGATATCGAGGATATGGATATGCTCGACAGCAGTCCTGACAGGTCCATGAGCGATGATGTCGCCGGCCGTATGGAGATCTAGGGTTGATTCGATCCAAATCGTCATGATAGATCGGTTCTTCAAGAAACAGCCTCTTCGGTTCGAAACCGAGCATCAACCGTATTTCTCTGAAATCATTATTTGCTGCATTATTTCAACATTCAACACTATCCTAATCTCAACTAGGGTTGCTCGATACCAACAAATCGAGACAAACGAAGCTGAATAGCAAACTACTGTTGCTTCGCCTTTTTGTATTTTGCGAGCATTTTTACGTTATGCTCTTTTCTTTCGACATGCCATTTGCTTAGTATGAAAGTGTGAGGCCCGGTTAGGCTTCTGGTCGGTGAGAGCGGCTGGAATTCCGCGACATGAGGCGTTTCTGGGTCCGCTTGTCAACCTGCTATTCCTGGAGATGGTTGCAGGTTCTCTGTTGTAATTACTGCATCTTTTTTTTTTCATCTATCTCTGCTTTCTTTTTCAAGCACTGTTATTCTACATCCTTTAACCTGGGTTTGGCTTTGGCTGCTTTTGATTGGAATACCGCCTGACACGGCTATGCCTGGATGTATGATGAGAAATCGTGGCTCGGTGTCGGTGTCGTCTCGTTTGGGAACGGCATGGGATGATAGTTGGCGCTAGCGGCATGGGAACTCGGGTGAGAGTAACGACCTGGTTTTATGGTGATGATGTACATGATGGGTTGAGGGATGCATGCCATGGGCTAGTCAGGCTGGTAATTGCTTTGACACGATGTTGCGAATTCATGATTTCAAATTCCCAATGGCTTTACTCATCAGTACTGGATAAGCACCTTGGTTGAAAGTGATCACTGTTTCCTCGACCTTGAGTTCAGTCGAGAGCAAGTCTATGCGTAGGGACACACGTGTAGCCGGGATGACGCAAACAGCTGTAGGATTCATTTGTTACGCAGGCACAGTCAAGCATTCAAATTTGGCTTGAACTGTCTTTGACATGACTTTATCGTTGAGCGTGGGGCCGGGTGTGTCTTGGGTATATGCCAACGATATTCAAATACATCTTGATTCCTGCAGCGGCCGCTGCCATCTTCCATGGAACTTTGAAATTAGCCGGCCGTTCAGACACTTGAGCATGCCACAAAGTTGATACATGGACAGTATGCCAGTTGGCTTCTCAGAGGCATGTATTTGAGTTCGTCGTTGGTTCTTTGTTTGATTTTGATTTTTGGTGGCGAAGAGGTTCTGGTGGGTGGCTTTGGGTGCGGTATATGTATCATGTAACTGTGTTACTTCCGGGGTTATCTCGAGGGTTCACAAAGGATAGTTACTCTCTGATGTGTACTCAGAGATGAGGGTGAGACTTGACTTTGGGAAAGAAGCCCATAGCTTCAGTCTATACAATCTGAAAGCCTATTTCATCAACACATGGGTATCGTCAGGGTCAACGTGGTTGAGCCATGTCCGATGTCTAGTTTCCAGGCTATCTCACGATGGATAAGAGATGGCCAATTTGGTTGCGCGTCTTGTTGGGAAACGGAATGCCACACTTGGGTCTGGAGCGGATGAATGCAAACGTTGCTATCGCCCTCAAGGAACTCGGCCTCGACATTGTGGATGCTCAGCAGGGCATAGAGATGGCAAGGACTTTCAAATCGCCTGAGGAGTTCAAATGCATTGTCGCATCTCTTCGCGCAACAGAGATCGTTGTGGGCAAACTCCGTGATGCAGTCTCACCAGGTCTTGCGGAGAACCAACTCTGGTCAGTCATGCACAAATCCTTAATTGAGCAGAATGGAGACTATGTGGAGACTCGACTCCTCACCGCTGACCCACGAACAAACACTTGTTTCCAGGAGTCAGCAAGTTATGCCATCCCGAAGAACGACCTCGTGGTTCTAGACACAGATGTAGTCGGTTGCCATGGATACTACTCTGACTTCTCACGAACGCTTCACGCTGGCCCGGATCCTCCTACCGAGGAGCAAAAGAAGACATACAGAACTGCACTTGCACAGGTCAATCACAACATGAGGATCCTCAGGCCGGACTTGACCTTTGGCGACTATACAGATCTTGCATGGGATATTCCTGAGCAGTATTGGGCTAACCGGTATTTTGTCTCAGCGCATGGCTGTGGTCTCACGGAGGAGGATCCGTATTTGCATCATCGAGGAGATTTCCAGGATTCTGGCTATGATGGTGTTATCGAACCGGGCATGGTACTTTGCGTTGAGAGTTATATTGGCAATGAGCGTGGCACACAGGGTGTCAAGCTGGAACGGCAGTCCTAATCACCGAAACAGGGATTCAGGTTTTGTCAAAGTTTCCCTTTGAGGAGGCTACGCTGAAGTGACTGGTGCAAGTCAACTATTCTTCTATATTGTCTTGTCCGACAGTCCACCTGTCCTCTGGATATGAATACGAATCAATCCATCGGGAACTAATAAGGCAAGCATTCGATCTGAGAGCATTGCCCGCAAGATCGATCATAGAACTTTGCTCCTCTATCATTAGCCGAAATGCCCATACTCTCCTTAGGGATCGATGAAAGGTAACAGTTTCTGGAATATTGGGAAACGACCCAGCCAAATACCACACAGCTCTCATCCTCCAAACATGCTCGGGCACACATCTCGACGCTCCCCTGGAACATCGACATGGATCTGTAATTTGGGCCGTTGCTGTTGAAATTTCCCTGAGTACCACCGCAGAGACTGGTAGTCTCTGTTGGAACAGCACAGGTTGGTTTGTATTCACCCACATAGATGTCGTCAATAGCTACATAACGGACGGCAGCCTGGCTGTTAAGTCTGACAAAGGCATAGAGGTGGTCGTTCATTGCTCCTTGGAAGATCGCAGTGCGTTGGACGTATTTAAAAGGGGCGCCTTTCGGAACAAAGACTTTCTCGTTATGGACATGGCCATATTTCTGAGTCGCGATGATGAAGGAGAAATCCCAGTCTTGGTCAGGGTCAGAAAGAGGGGCATATGAGAACCAGACTTGGTACTTCTTCGTCGAGTCTAGGGATATGGGCCTCCACATATCAGATCCAAGGGTAGAGCCCAGTCCTGAGCTAACAAGTCTTATGTGACGTTAGCTTCAAGGAGTCTGGGAGCGCTCATATGTATCCGACTTACGCAAACTGGTCGCCACTATGAGCACGCGGTACGTCCTGAGAGGTGCTGCTCTTTTGTTGAAATGGTACGGCGATACCGGCGAATTGCCCCATATAGTCCCATCTGTTCTCGCCCGTATTGTCTCCCTCAAAGCTTGGGTCCTCGATGGAAACTGAGACAACGGGACATGATGCTGATGAAGTTGTTGAAGTCCATAGGCTTTCTGTTACCGACGTGCTTTCGGGTGACGATAGCGATGTAAGCAGGGTTGTGGTGGTGTCAATGCTTGTGGGCACGTCGCTAGTCACAGTCGTGGCATCAATGGTTGTACTAGATCCGTCGGATGTGGCGATATCAATAGTGGAAGTATCGGTTGAGACCTTGCTGTCTCCTGAGCTGACTGTCGCAGTTGTTGCATATGATACGGTAGTGTCAGTTGATGTTCTAGGCTCGATTGAAGTTGAGTGAGCAGTGGTGGCTGCATCGGCGGTTGCAGTCGACTCGTTGGATGCAGTGGGGATGATTGAAGCTGCTGTATCAGTAGTGTCAATCGAATCAGTAAGAAGGCCTGAATTAGAGGTGCTGTCTGGAGTCGAGCTGTTGCTTGGTTCCGATTCATCAGTTGAGGCAGTGGTTGTGGTAGTGGCCTTCGTCGTGGTAGGATCGTCGCTTGTCGTTACAGCAGCCAAAGTCGATCCAAAGCTATTTGGCGAAGTCGATGTCGATGTCTCAGAATCGAACTCAGAATCAGAGATAGCTGGAGGGTTGACAGAGGCTGTATAGCCTGAAAAGCTGGCACTCAAGGTTGTGGTTTGCGGCCAAGTTATAGCTGAAGAACCACTCAACGCTGTTTGGACAAGTTCGCCAGCACCGGTAGAACTTGAATAGTCTGTTGAATATGAGGCATCCAGACTTTGCGTGGTTTCAGCTTTTGGACCGATCACCGTTGTGGTATCTGAGATCCACGACAAAAGTGATGTATACTCAAAGTGAGAATGTGGTTTACATTTTCCAGCCTCAGCAACAAAGACGCCCGATGCTGCTAATACAATAGCAAGCACTCTTGAAGCCACCATACCCGCATCCGTCTTTTAAAAAGGAGTAGGCATCTACTCTATTGTACATGATTTTGGCGGGCGAGTGTCCCTTTTTGTCCAACCAGAGTGGTAGTCAAGAAATAACCATATCTCCAAGAAGCGCAATTCTAGATGCATTTACGGAGTAGAACGAACGGGAACCAAATAAAACAAGCACTAGATCCCAGCTGGTCGATCTAACAGGGAACAATTACAATCAATAGCATACGGTTGTGACATAGCGTCAGGGGTACAGAGCTTAAAGTGGTGAAAAGGACTGATGCTATGCCGTTTGTTATGGACTTGAGCAATTTTATTCTGCAGCGCCATTTCTCTAGTTTTAAATAGTTCCATGGTCTAGGCTCTACAGACTTTATTGACAACCTGCGAACCACGCTCAAAAGGAATCGCAATATTCCAAAGCTTTTATTGACGACACCCATTCGTGCATGTGTCCAAGCATTGGATAGTGACTGGAGATGCCATGAGTAAGCGCTCAGAAGTCTTCTCATATCAAGACGAAGGAGACGAAGAGGCGAGCCGTGATTACTCTAGGAAAACTCAAGTTGCTAGTGAACCAAAGGCAGTACAGTACTTCTTAACTAATACTTTTATTCTGTTATGGAGGAAAAACAAGAAGAGAGTGAAATCATGACTCAGTAATTGGCTCTGGTCTTTCAACAGTCCTTTTTGTTATTAGTTCTCAATCAAGTTTCGCATCCTTGCCTTGGTAAGATAAGATTCCTTGAAGAACTTGTACGGATAGAAGATGCACTGTAACTAGTGCAAGACAGAACCTAGATGAAGCAAGAGAAATGCATAGCAAGTATCAGTCGATCTCACTCTATATATTCAGCCTACTAAGGATAAACGATGACCATTTGCTTCAGGTTCCTAGAGATCAGAAGTCATCAATGTGTCCATATCTTCCCTGTAACATAAGCGTTTCTATATACTTGAGGTGGGATAACGTATTGTTTTCGTCGCGAATCTTCTTGTACTAATCGTAGTAGAACAATCGTCTTTACATTGCTAATATAGTAATTAAAAAGTCGTTTCCCTGCTACCTAGTAGGTCCCTACCTCTATATACCTAGGTAGGTATTTCTTCCTCAGAATCGAACAAACGCAAATGGAACCAGATTCAAATGGTCTATGCCTTATCTCTTATCGCGATTCTCGACATGGGCTGATTGACCAATTAGATCGTCCAGATTCCACCCGTCGCGGGGCCTCACCCAAGTCTCCCAAATTTTTTCTCGCTGGCAATCGCTTTCGCTTCATCTCGACTCGTCTTCAGCTTCGACTTATCAAAGTCATCTCACGCCACGGCAATCGCACGCAACACGACAGCTTCTATGTACCATTTTGTATCGCGGTAAAAAGCAGTGCAAATTAGCTCTGCTTCCAATAAAAACTCCAGAGCATGGCCGTCCAGACGTCGCCATCGCTCACTTCAACCTCACATACCTTGACTGCCGCGCCGCCCGCAATGGCTGCTCCCGATTCTTTCACAAATAGCCACGTCTTGGCCCTTTTAGAAAGCCTAGCCGACGGCAAGCGACACGCTTTTCTTCAACCCACAGCTTCCATCCCAACCGATTCTCTCAACCTTGTCAAGCACACCCTGGAAGGTTTTGCCTCACAAGTCGGCGATGAGCAACAGGAGAGGTTAAAAGAAAATCGCAAGCGCAAGAGAGGCGCTGCAAATAGCGAGGATATCCTTAAAATGCGCAAGGTCTATATCGATGGGTTCGAGACCGGCCAGGTTTGGCAGCAGGCCAAGAGAATTATTGGTGGTGTCTTGAAGTATTCGGAAGAGGCGCTGGCAGAGTTGGAGGAGCGCAAGGAGATTGCCGTCAGCGGCGCTGGTGCATCAGACTCAAAGACGCTCGAGTTTGGAGAGGATGGCTTCGAAGTAGACTCCGAGGAAGAGGACGAGAGCGACCAGGATGGATCCGACGAGGAGGAAGAACAATTATCAGTGGACGAAGCTCAAGACGATGGCCAAGAGGACGACTGGGAAGATGATGAAGAGGAGATCGAAGAAGGCAGAGACGATTATCAGGAAGATGATGAGGAAGACGAGAGTGTGGGTGGACCGGTTGAAGAGTATGAGGAGGATCCCGACGGTCTCAACGATGGTTTCTTCTCACTCGATGATTTCAACCGGCAAACACAATATTTCGAGGAGCAGGACGCAAAGGGAGATCCCTACACGGATCAAGCAAGCGACGATGAGGAGATCAACTGGGACGCGGATCCTCTGGCTCCTCCTACACCAGGTTCCAAATCTAAGAAGGCTGCCAAAGAGCCACTCTCTGAAGAGGAAGATGATGACGACGACGAGGACGGCCCTACATTTGGTGACATGGCTCTCGATGCCCCAGAAGGCGACAGTGAGGATGAGGCCATGGATATGGATGAGCCTGTTGATGACGACGACAACGGTCTCAATGCCAATGATGTCTACTATAAGGACTTCTTTGCGCCGCCGCGTCGAAAGTCGAATGGCGGTAAGCCCAAAAAGTCTGTCAAGTTCCAGCCCGAGCAGCCAAACGATGCCGACGTTGAGAGAGCCATGGCCGATGTTCGCAGAGATCTCTTTGACGATGAGTCAGAACAGGAAGATTCGGACGATGCTCTCTCCGATGTTTCCGCTGGAGATCCCAAGTCAAGACGCTCAGCTCACGAGCGGAGACAAGCCAAGCTTGCCGAAGAGATCCGCAAGCTTGAGGCTGCATCCGTTGCCAAGCGTGAGTGGACTCTCTCTGGTGAAGCTACTGCAGTTGACCGCCCTGTAAACTCTTTACTGGAGCAGGATCTCGATTTCGAGCATGTTGGCAAGCCCGTGCCTGTCATCACTCCTGAGGTCAGTGAAAGCATCGAGGATCTCATCAAGCGTCGTATTCTCGCTCAAGAGTTCGACGAGGTTATTCGCCGACGTCCTGACACCGAAGGTGCAGCCGCAAGTACCCGTCGTGGCCTTGTCGAACTCGATGATACCAAGGCTACAAAGGGTTTGGCCGAGATCTACGAGGAAGAGCACGTCAAGAATACAAACCCAGACACCTATGTCAGCCAATCAGACGAGAAGCT